CCAATTCAAGGGCTTGTTTTACAGAAAAAGGTTTCCATGTTTCCAATGGTATGCTTTGTGGATCCAGAAGATGTGATTAAGTTTGTTTTCCAAGGCCTCAAAGTTGCTACCTCAAAACTGGAAAACTGCCAGAAAATGGCTTAAGGCAGAAAACTGTTCTGTGAAGCCTACTTTGGAGCTCCAATCAAGGAGCATGGATGGGATTCAAGTCAAAGGGCTTCCACAACATGAAACTAGGTATGTTTGTGAACAAAGGGAAGGAATTGGATGAAGAATTAGAGTTCGGGAAGGCCTCGAACGAAAGGCGCAAAGTAAGTACGAAAGCTGCCTTTTGACTGTTTGCTGGCAGCTTACTTGTGCTTCAAGAAGGGGAGTTTAAACCCGAATTTTGTGTCATTTTTAGTGTAGACTTTTACCTTAACTGTTTCCTAGTTCTATTAGGATTGTATTAGGTTTTATTTGACTTTAAATACCGTTCTATTTACGTTGTAAAAACATAAGACTTTGTTGAATAGAAATCGAAACCGTTTGGTTTGTGCAAGTTGCGACTTGTTTTGGGTTTGGTGGATCCAAACTTGCCGAGCTTGTGTATTGATTGAATAGTCACTTCAATCGTGGTCGAGCAACTACCCTTTTATACTAATCGATGATCAGTTGGGTTTGGTGCTCATCGATGGAGGCCGGGATAATAACTTAATTGCTTGCAGGGTCGTGAGCAAGTTGGGATTACAATTACAGCCTCACTCAGCTCCCTACATCTTCCAATCACCGTACGAAACCAAATCCAGCATCGTAGTATCTCAGGTGGTCGTGGAATTCTCGATTGGCCAATACAAGGATCAAATCCTATGCGACGTGGTTTTCAATCTTCCCAGTAGCCTTGTATTGGGACAACCATGGTTCAGAGATCGTCAAGTCTGTTTTGCCAGTCGACGGAGAAAGATGTTTCGTATTCAGAGTCAAAACAAGGTGTTTGTCGTCAACCCTTTGGCTCCGGAGGCAGCTGTCGACGATTTGAAGGAGCTTCACCGACTCCAAGAGGAGTATCAGAAGGCTATACTAGCAAAACCATGGCTATGGAAGGTCGATCAAGCAAAGGCCCAGCCAGAGCAAGACAATTCCTGTTTTTCGCCGCAAAAACAGTGCATCGAAGCCAACAGTTCTGCTGACGACGAAGAGGGGACGCCGACGCACAACTCGCCCAGTCACGCATCAATGGATGTTGATGGAGGAATTGGAGCGCGAGGAGAAGCCCCTGAACTAGCTGTCGATGCGCGAATCAACCCGGAGACGCAAGCAGCAGGGTGTCCCGATTCTCCAGCGAAACAGAGAGCGCCGACGGCTCTCGTGGTTGGCACAACCTCCGAAGAGTTGAACCTCGCCGCCGGTGTCGACACGATCCCCAAGACCCCAGAAACGTCAGAAGTAGCTCCGTTGGAGGTGATCGTACCTCAAATCCCAGAATCAATTCGTCAAAAATCGCCCCTGTTCGTGAAGAACACTGCCGACGAGGACCCTCTCTTAGGTGGATCAAACCAGCACGATTCGAGCCAAATCGTTGATGTAGACTCGTCCAAGGAAGGCCAACGAATGTTCAAATCAATCAATTTGTCCCGGCACAGTCAGAATCACAAACGCCCAAATCTGATGGAAATTTCTGGGCTTCACAAATTCAAAACTGGTCGACGGCGGGAGCAGGGGAAACGAGGAATTGAAGAGGATGGTGTTGAATCGAGACTGGGGATGGGTCCACAACTTCAATTGCAAGCCTAGAGAAGAGCATGGAGTGGTTCAATTGGGCTGGAAATCGTCGATACGAAAACCCCCAATTTGGTCGATTGAATTCAACAACGGAGATGAAGCTAGACGACCTGGAAATTATGCTGATCGTGTTCAAGTGAAATTGGAAGTCGGGGCAGGTTTGTTTCAAGTCCAGGCAGGGTTCCCAACAGCTCTGCAAGCTTCAAATTCCTTGGAGAAGCTTGAAAGTGAGTTTGCAACTGTAATTTTTCTGCCAAAAAAGATTATCGAACAACCTACTTTCGATCCAATTTGGGATTAATTCTGCGTACGGTTTGAGCAAAGGAAGGCCAAAGTGTTGAGGGCAACACTTTTTCAAGAGGGAGGGCCTGATATGATCCCAAATGGTCCATTATACACGTTTAATTTACTTGACGGAGAAGCTATCGAAGTTGGGAAGAAGAAGGGCAGAATTTGGCTAAGTCAAAATCCATGTTCAGGGTACATACTTTGGAGGCATGAGTTCTCTCAATTGGCTTGGTGGAAATTCCAATTCAAGGGCTTGTTTTATAGACAAAGTTTCCATGTTTCCAATGGTATGCTTTGTAGATCCAGAAGATGTGATTAAGGTTGTTTTCCAAGGCCTCAAAACTGGAAAACTGCCAGAAAATGACTAAGGCAAAAAACTGTTATGTGAAGCCTACTTTGGAGCTCCGTTCAAGGAGCATGGATGGGATTCAAGTCAAAAGGCTTCCACAACATGAAAATAGGTATGTTTGTGAACAAAGTGAAGGAATTGGATGAAGAATTGGAGTTCGGGAAGGCCTCGAACGAAAGGCGCGAAGTAAGTACGAAAGCTTCCTTTTGACTGTTTGCTGGCAGCTTACTTGTGCTTCAAGAAATGGAGTTTAAACCCGAATTTTGTGTCCTTTTTAGTGTAGACTTTTACCTTAAATGTTGCCTAGTTCTATTAGGATTGTATTAGGTTTTATTTGCCTTTAAATACCGTTCTATTTACGTTGTAAAAACATAAGATTTTGTTGAATAGAAATCGAAACCGTTTGGTTTGTGCAAGTTGCGACTTGTTTTGGGTTTGGTAGATTCCAAACTTGCTGAGCTTGTGTATTGATTGCATAGTCACTTCAATCGTGGTCGAGCAACTACCCTTTTATACCAATCGAGCTATCCCCAGGTGTGGATTTGTCCTTTTGGTTCCATTTTATCCAAGTTCGTATTAAGAACGCTTCGTTCTTGATTCGAGCTCAATTGATTCTTCGATTGAGTCGTTAGCTGCGTGACTTTGATAATATACACCCCCAGGGGCGTATTAAACACCTTGTTCCTTGCAACTCCCTACTCAATATGCTTTGATGGGTTGTGTTTGCTAAGGAATATTTGCATGATTAGAGTACCGGTGTATGAGGGATTTTACTTTCTTCTTCCTTTTTTTTTTTGGTAGGAAGACGGACGACAATGCGTCCTAATTCATTAAATTAATAGAGCGATCCATGGAGATGGCCATGGAGTCATACAATAACCATTTACAAAGAACATGAAACTTTTTCTTGGTGAGTTGATAATGTTTGCTATTTTAGGAAGAACATGTGCTTGGGATTCTCCATCATTTTTTAACTCGAAACTTTTACAAATTTGTGCTTATTGTTGAAAAAGTCTTTTGAAAAGACTTTCTCACGGATAATACTGCATCCCAATCATCTTTCACTACTTACCATCACCCAAACATCTTTCCTCCTCACGGAATTGTATGGCAAGGTACAAAGTACCTTTTAGCGATTCAAGAGACTTCAAGCTCTCATTTGTACCCAATATGTGTGGCAACCCAATGTGGAGTGTAGGCTGGAAAGTGGTGCTCGGGCTAAGACGAATCCCATCAACTTCCCCACATGTGACCTTGATAGGGAAGGCAATTGATCCATCCGCTCTTGGTCAAAGGGAGAGATGCTTGCTTGCAAAAGAGTTTGCAAAAGAATTTGGTGCAATGCGCGTGAACGTTTGAAAAGCTAACCAATAAAAGACAACTCCATAATCAAAAGAAAGAATAAATCGCATCCTCAAGAGTTATTGTGCTTAATTGTTGTTGAGAAGTCCCTCGGTGCACACTTTGAATGTTCGTCCTAAGGTAGTAAGTATGGTCCTCACCAAGGAGTTTGTGTGTGTACAGTAAGATTATAGTAACATTCATTCATCTCTGTCTACTTTTCTTTATGCAATGAAGAACTAGAGTGCATCCTCCGTTGATTTGTTTATCAAGTTGCATCGGTTTGCATCATCAGTTGAGTAGGTTTGCTTGGGGACAAGCAAGCGCCTAAGTGTGAAGGAGTTTGATAACACACAAATTGGTGTTATTTGTCCTTCATATTTAGGTTTGTTTGGTGCTAATTTGTGTGCATGTGCTTGAAATGAATTCAATTTTTAACTTCTTTTTCTTGGAACTATATATCAATCAGAAAAACAAATGCAGTTTTGTGTTATATGCTTTTGTTGGGAGATAGAATCATGAAGAACTCACCTACTCTACCCTCCACACCCATCTATTGCTAAGTAATTCAAATCATGTGAAACGGGTAAAATACATCGGGTACCACTAAAGTATGAGAATTGGGGCAGCTATACCACTTAACTAAAAATAGGGCATCGCGTACCATTGAATTCTATTATATGTGGATCCGGTACCACTTAAATTTACTGCTAAGTACATTTCGTTAATGGTCCTTCTACTTTTCTTATTGTAAAAAAATTATTTGGACTTATGAAAAACAACATTTTTCACTATTTAGTTTGAATCCTCTTCTGAATACTTGATACCAAACCAATTTTTGAATATAAGATTTAGAATAAATTATCATTATAAGTATTTTCAATTATCATTATGTGTTCTAATAACAGAATAATTCTCTAAAGCAAATATATCTTATGAATCCTATCTCGATATAAATAATCCAAGGATGCTATATTTAGTTATCTTACATCATGCCGATGTCTAATTCTCCATGTTAAATTTATTTTTAATTCTCTAATATTATAATATAGATGTTCCATAGTAGTTAAATTTACTAATTCTAATTTTCTTCCTATAGTCATATTTTCTTTTCTACATGTTTTTCTAAATGTTGTAGCTTTCATAGTTTATTTATTACTTGGTTAATTTCCGTTTTAAATTTTTTCAATTACTGGAATATGTTTAATACTTTCTGGTCATATTTACCATTTAAGTTTGAGAATGAGCAGTGCCATCCGTTTCTGTTACAACGTATTTATATTTTATGGAGCCTTAATGAATGAGCAGTGCCAGTGAGCCAGTTGGCATTCTCTCCGGAGCAACACAGCAACATGGGAAATCACTTTCCTGTGAGAAATCAAATTCGATTTCTGCAATCAACCAAACTAGTTACTTCCGGTGTCAAAATTATCCAAATTCTCATTGAAGATCATGATTATGTAATCAACATAAAAAAAAGAATGGGGACTCTTAGTACATTTGCATCAATTCTGTAGCTTTTCAACACAATTGCTAACCCCGAAAGATGCTAATAACAAACATAATGTTTTCACTAGTTTAGTAATCAAATAAGATGTGATCTCATCTCACCCAACATAACTCAGTTACTCCAGTTCTTGAACAAGGCAGATTGAACAAGCAAAAACGGCTCTCAATCACCAGTTCCGTTTGGAGTTCTGCAGTAAATTCTACTCCTTAGCCTGCCACAGACAACAAGTAGGATGCTGTTAACGAAAAGGGTTTACGTTTTAACCACCTAGAAGAAGCGGTGTAACGTTGGGCTTGAATTCATTCGCACGGAGTCTAAACATGCATAGGAAATGTTCAATGATCCACAACACAAAGATGCATATTTAGATGTTATATTGGCAGCTCAATTCAGCTCACAAGTTTAGCTTCTAAGAATCAGAAATTGCTGTTTGGATTGTGCCCCAACATAAACTACACAACTCCACCATTTTCCCACGATAAATGGTCTCCATTCCGAGAACTACTCCATACAGAAGCACGTTAGATCTAAACCAAACACCCAATTGAATTTATCCAAGATGCAGCTCAACCTAAATGGAGATCCTAAAATCCCTAGTGCGTCCATATTGTACCAGTCTTCAATCTTCATGAACACAGAACAGAGACACAAACCAAAAACAGAAAACTATACAAGACACAGAATTCTACATGCATCATAGATGATAATGCAAAGCTCCTCCAGACTTTAGGCAGGCGTAGGAGGCTCTAAATCAACAAGTAATTCAGTCCTCTCTCATGCGATACAATCTCTACAAGAACGATATAACAGAAGTCTTCCAAACGCCACCCAAAGCATAAGCAACAAGAGCAGTTTCTCAAAGAATTCCCAATTCAATTCCCAATTAAAACCCTAAGCTTTTAAGCTCTAAAATGTAGATTTTGACTACATTTGTTGGGGGGAAAACGATTTTACGTAGAAGCGTTTTGATAATCGACAAGTGTAAAATTGTAAGCTTTTAAACTTTAAAGTGCGATTTTGACTGCATAATCCGCCAAATAAACACAGATCAACAGCGAATTCTCGATTCAGACAGCGGAAAGCAAACTAACCTGAGAAGCAGTCGAGTTCTGCGGAGTGATCGACTCGAGATTGGACACTCGAGCTTCAAGAGTCTCCATCTTTTGCTTCACCTGCAAGACACAAGGGATAAGAAAGCCGCCATTAACGGGGAAGGCAGAAACACAGACGGTTGATGGAGAAGAAGACAGGAAACCATACGTGAGAAGAAAGGGCGACTCGCTCCGCCCATAGATCTCTGCCGATGAACTGCGCAATCGCAGCTCCCGACAGCGAAAACCCAACCGTGAACCACACCAATCGAGTCCTCAACATTGTTTTCTCTTTTTGTTCTTCTTTGTCTTTCTCGCCTTTCTTCTTCTTCCTTCCTCTCTTCGCCAAAAATTTGCGGCATTTTTTTAGATCGAAGGTGCGTCAAAGTAAGAACCAGAGAGAGCTGCTGGTCCTAGTGGGCTTACAGGCCGAATTCTAAAGGTCCAAGGCCCACTCTCCTTTTTGGTCTGGTCAATGCTATGGTGCCGCACTAAAAAGTGAGGCATCAGTAACGCAACTTCCTATTGGTCCACGTCAATGATTATGTGGCACTAGTTTTGTTTAATTAACCTTAACCGAATCCATGTGGCTCGTTAGAAATGGCCCAAACGGGCTGTCCCAAAGTAACGGTAAAAGAATTCCGTTCAAACCTTTGTTTTCAATTTTCTGTTTAATTATTAATTAAAGTAAAAATAATGTCACTGCTCTTTCAGAAAAATCAGTGAACAGAAAATTTGGATCGACCGACGGCAAACGAACTAGAAGCACAGTTCATCGATTTCCCTCGCCGGCGGCCTCTACATAGCACTCCCGTCGACTTGGCCGACGTCGATCCCATCTCCCGGGTCTACCTATCGATTGAAATCCCTTACTCCCCCTGACTCCCTCCTACATTGAATCTGTATAACAGAGCCAAAGGAATCCTTGTCTTCCTCGGCCTCTGTCTCCATCCAAAGGACCAGAACATCGTGACAGCCGCCTTGTACTGGGACTGAGAATTTTGAGAATCTACGGTATCTAGCTTCAATCCTAATTATCGAATGGATAACTCTCCCAGTACTGATACTAACTGATTTATGTGATCCAGCTTATGACTAGGGGTGACAGTTCGGTTATCGGTTACCGGTTAATCGGCCGGTTAAACCGATAATCGGCCGGTTAGTCACTAACCGGTAATCGAAGTAACCGAACATCGGTCAGTTATCGGAGGCTAGACGAAATGGTTTTTGGTCTTAAAAGTGGGTCGGTTAACCGATAACCGAGATAACCGAGAAACCGAAGCCTATTTCAGACGATTTTCGGTAGGAGGGGGTGGTTATTTTGGTTAACCGATAACCGGCCGATTGGTTATCGGTTATAACAAAAATAACCAAATGCCGGTTATCGGTTATAACAAAAATAACCAAAATGTCACCCCTACTTATGACAAGCTATTTGACAAACTCTGCTGCAGATTGGTCAGATTTTGGGTGATGATGAAGATGCAAAGGAATGATAAACAGAAGAAAAGAAGAGGAGGTTATAGTAGATAGAGGTTGGAGGAATTTGTTAATAGATCTCTGATTGCTATACAATTTGTGAGTTTCTAGGAATAGTCAACAGGTAAACCATATGAGAAAGGAGATGGACGTACGATGAGCTGATTTTTTAGACTGTGAGAGTGATCATTTCTATGATATTTGCGTTCAGTTGACGTATAATTAAGATGGTTAGGAATGGAGACTGAGAAGTGAACCCATCTGCAACTTAAGTTGCTGGTCTCTTAAAAACTGGCACCACCATGTTTAGTCATAGAAGGACTACAATAAGCTATTCGCTCTTCTCACTTCCTAGAAGAAATTCGTGTCCTTACTTTAGGCTACACTGAGTCACTTTGTGAGAAACATAATTATTTGAATTTATTTGTTATTTGCGTATTATTCGGATATTGTGCTAGGGCGGGAATTATGAGGGTTATTTCGGTTAGGTTAATTATTCGGGTAGTAAACAGGAAATAGTCGATATATATATACCCCTATATGGTGATGACTGGTGTACGTCTGGTGTATACTATACGTCAGGTGATCTAGCCGTTAAATGTACTTAGATGAGCTCCGGCCGATCTCAACGGTCAATTTTATTTTTCATTAAATCAAACTTCGGGTTGAGATTTAGAAAATCAGTGCCTGGGGTTTATCCGTTAGAGGTTAGGGTATAGTATCATACCCCAAACTCGATTTAATTCATGGTCTGGATAGAGATATTTCACTAGTAGTACCTGACGTATAGTATACGCCTGACGTACACCAGTATGACCCCTATATATATATATATGTGTGTGTGTGTGTGTGTGTGTGTGTCATGTTATGTTAGCTCAAGGGCAAGCAATAACACAGAATTGTTCCCAAACTCTCTCTCTCTCTCTCTCTATCTCACCTAGCCGAACCTCCCTCCCCTCTCTTCACCGTCGGCGGCTCCCTCCCGGGAACCCGACTCTGCCTTCTCTCTCATCCTATTCCCAATTCTTTCTCACCTAAATTCCCAATCCCTAATTCGTTCAATCCCTAAATCGCACGCCTAGATCCGTCGTTCTCACAGTGGTATCAGAGCCTGGCTGGCGTGCTGATTTATTGAACCCTGCAGAAGTTGAGGATGTCAAACATGGACAAGCCGCAGAAGCAGGGCAAGGAGATCGTAACCGTGAAGGACATAAACGACGAACAAGTATGACGTGATAGTCACGATGCTGGAAAGCCTGATGGAGTCCACGGAAAGAGCAGCTGCTGCCTCGCGGGACTCGACCGGGGCCATAGAGGAGTTGGGAGGCCGGATCACCATCTCGATTGAGGAGATGGGCAAGTCCGTGATGGAGAACCTATGCCGAGCCCTCGCAGAAACCATGAGGGAGGTGCTGGTCGGCGTCCTAAAGAGCAAGGAGCCAGCGCTAGAAGTCCCGCCGGAGGAGGCGAGGGGCCGGGTTTGCCGCCTGTTCCAACGGCCCAGGAGATCGCGGAGGCCCACAGGAAGAAGAAGGTGGTCTAGTTTGAAGAGTTGGGCCTGGAAGATGATGAGCTGAGCTTCGCGGACCAAGAAGATTGGTGGATGGACCCTGGGCCCGATGGGCCTAACCAGAGCTGGGTGGCTGACCCAAGGGCGGACCAAGCCGGGCGGCCGGTCGGACCAGCATCGGTCGAATTGGGATGGGTCGAACCGGGCCGAACCTACCCGAGCATGGCGAATTCCACGGGGCAGCGGCTGGAGCAGGTCTGGTGGAGGACCCGGGCGCGAGCGACCAGGTCCCGAGTTGGGCTATTCGCCATGGGGCACTCCGCGAGCGGATCACGGGCGCAGAGGGCGCAAGATGGAAGAAGGACAGGGCTCCGGGACTAAGTCTAGCGGCGAGGAAGACTATCAGCTGGAGATGGCTGACTAGGCCTACTCGGGGAGACGAGATATGGATCCCGAATACCGGCACTATGGGTCGGGGAGCCCAATGCAACCGTCAGATGGTGGCAGGTATGGATACAACAACCCTCTGTATGACTGTGATGATGAGCTGGTGTTCAGAGCAAAACCTCCAGTTATTGAATTTCCAAAATTTGATGGTACGGGTGACGTTGGGTTGTAGCTATATGACGCGGAGCGGTGGTTCAAGAACCACCCGATCAGGGCAGAAAGGAAGGCGCATCTGGCGTCCTTCTATTTGGAAGGGGATGCCCTCCAGTGGTGGGAATGGACTGAGCGAGCGTATGCGGCAGCAGGCGCAGGCATCTTCTGGACTCGGTTTCAGGAGGAGCTTCGTTACCATTTCGGCAGAGCAGAGGGATGGGCACCGGAGCAGCTGGCCAAGCTGAAGCAGACGGGGTTCGTGGCCGAGTACCGGGCCGAGTTCCTAAAACTGGGGAATCAGTGCAAGGAAATGACTAAGGAGACACTGGTGGGGCTGTGCATGGCCGGACTGCGACCAGAGCTGGCCACAACAGTCAAGGTCTTTGAACCTGATTCTCTTCGTGTGGCTTTTAGACTTGCAGGTCGGAAGAAGGAGGAGCTAGCCAGCTGGAGATCATCTGTGGGCAGGATATAGAAGGCCAGTGGAGGAGCGAATAGCGGCGCTGGGGCGGGGTCAGTGTCACCTTCGGCGGTGACGTCGAGCCCGCCAGTCGCGGGGGATGCTGCAGGAACCCGATTCCCAGCTAGGGCGCCGCCGCGCGGGTTCGTGAGACTGACTCAGGAGGAGATGGATCAGAAGCGCAGGGACGATCGTTGTTTCAATTGTGATTAGAGGTATACACTAGGACATCAGTGCGCTAAGGGGCACTTAATGCTGCTGGTCAGGAATTGGGAAGACGAAGGAGAGGAACTGGAGCTAGGAGCGGAAGGAGGAGAAATAGGGATGGCAATTTCGACCTGACCCGTTTTACCCGACCTGTTTGACCTATTTTGAGGCGGGTCCGACCCGCCTTGTAGGCGTGCGGGGCGGGAATGGGTAGTCTCATCGACCCGACCTGCCCTGACCCGTCCCATTCTCGACCCGTTCTTGTCTAAATTACATGTAATCTTAGTCACATTACTTAGGATTTTCCTTTTATTGCATCATATTTTAGCTATAATAAAGTTGTAAATTAGTGAAAACCTCAATTTCTCCAATAATTTAACTACAATTGTCATAATATTGTTTGTTTTCTTAGTCTTATAATAAAAATAATGAATATTTCTAATAGTTTTCATATAAATTGCATACCCATTGGGTTGACCTGCCCCGACCCGCGACCCGTGATCAATTACCCGACCTGAACCCGACCTGCCACGGGGCGGGTCTGGGTACCAAGAAACCCGCCCCGAACCTGCCACATTGCCATTCCTAAGGAGAAATCAAGGAGGACGACAAGAAGGATGGGCCACCTTGAGGGCAATGTGGGTTTCAAGGGGGATGGATTGTGAGAAACATAATTATTGGGGTTTATTTGTTATTTGCGTATTATTCGTATATTGTGCTAGCGCGGGAATTATGAGGCTTATTTCGGTTAGGTTAATTATTCGGGTAGTAAACAGGAAATAGTCGATTTATATATATATGTCATGTTATGTTAGCTCAAGGGCAAGCAATAACACAGAATTGTTCCCAAACTCTCTCTCTCTCTATCTCACCTAGCCGAACCTCCCTCCCCTCTCTTCACCGTCGGCGGCTCCCTCCCGGGAACCCGACTCTGCCTTCTCTCTCATCCAATTCCCAATTCTTTCTCACCTAAATTCCCAATCCCTAATTCGTTCAATCCCTAAATCGCACGCCTAGATCCGTCGTTCTCACACACTTGCTCTCATAAAATCCTCGTCCATGGCATTCTCAATAGACCATCGGTCGACTTATAACACAAACTCACTGTTTTGATGCTAGAGATTGATGTTTTTTCGAACCAAACATCGA